GATCTCAAAGGGGCAGGATATAAATAAATTTTATTATTATTTTATTATTATTACATCATTATTATTAAAAACGGAATTCCAGATGAGAAATCAAGAAGGGCTAGAGAGCTGCTTCTTACCTCCCCTTCCTTAACCCCTCTTTCTTGTCTCTTTCTTTCTCCAAAAATTTAAAAATGAAAGACCCCGCTTCCTTCCTGCCTTCAAAAAAAATGCACGAACGAGAAACTCTCGTGTCTGAATAGGACACGTGTGAAATCAATCCCGGGAAAGAGCCTTTCGAGCATCCTTTCAAACCAGCAAACACACTTCTCTCTCTTTGATCAGTCGCTCTCTTTCATTTTATTCCAGAATTTCGTTCAGAAAGTCTGAAATAAACGCGTTGTAACGACAGCAGCAGCAACAGCAGCAATCGCCACAGGGACAAATGGATTTCTTTCTCTTTTTAAAGCATGTATTTATTTATTTTTATTCAATTTATTCAATTTATTTTTGGAGGTTGGGGGGAGGTAGTCCTATATGAACAGCCTACGAAGTCAAGAGAGGGACTGGAGAGGTATCTGTATAACTGTTTTGGAAAAGGGAGGGAGGAGAAGGGTTTCCCTCTTTAAATAAAAGATTTAATCCCTCCCTCAATTCTGCCAGAAAAAAAAAAGGGGGGGGAAGAAAGAAATGGATTAGGGAAGGGTATCAAGCGGGATTATTCTTTTACATCAGCCAGATGGAAGCATAGGGCAAGAGGAGGATGTTTGGGTTTGTGTCCTTGTGCAAAATGTACATCTCCCCCCAGAGCTGGGGATCAAGGCAGCTTGTATATGTCTCTGTCTCTGCCTAGATGTAAAAGTCACACTCTCTCAGCCTCAGGGGAAGGCAATGACAAACCTCCTCGGAACAAGTCTTGCCAAGAAAACCCCAGAATAGGGTCGCCTTAGTTAGGGTCGCCCTAAATCGGAAAGGACACAGCAACAGCAACAACAACAACAGTACAAATTTAAGAATAAAATGTATTTATATCCCACTTATTGAAAAAGACAATCCAAGCGGAAGAATTGGAAGAAGAATTCTTGGCAAGTCATTTGCCAGCAAGCAAAGGCACAAAGGAGGGGAAAGGAAGGGAAATTCTCCTCTGGCTCTCTCTGCTTCGCTTCAGTAGACGCCTGTGTGGCCGCGAGTGTGTCCGCACGGCACAGTTATAGCGCTCTGATACCCCTTTAGTTGCCGGACGCCCTCGAATAGACGCTTGATATTCGTTGCTTAGAATTCTTTG